CTTTAGCAGCCCCTCCATCCAGCCTTCCGCATAGCAGGCTGGTGAGGTATTGAACACCCCCTCTATTGGCCCCACACCCAGTTTTCAGGAGTTAAGTTCATTCTACAAGTCTCTAAAGCCTTTAAGGAAGACCAAATCTTTCCATTGCTGGCCTGGAAATCAAAGAAGATATTCCAAATCACCACCATTCAATAAAGCAGTGACTTACTGAAATAATTACAGTTTACTAGCAAACCCACCTCTCTATATAATACATGTATAACCTCCTAGTCTGAAGATAGCAGAATTCCAAATAACTGTAGGCTCCAAGATATCACTTCTAATTTAGGAAACATATGCCCTAGAGAATTTCTCCCATTATGCACACACACATACACACATGTATATTTGTGTGTGCAAGCACATATCCTACTATAACAAATGACTCTTTGTTTTTAAGCCACACTAGGTTACAAACAAATACAATGAGTTAACTTAAAATATGTCATATCTGGGCATGAACACAACTAGAAAGGAAGCCTAATTCACACCAGAAAATATCAAAACCAAGTCTGGTAAGTGTCTAGCTAGTTAGTCTCAAAGCAGTAGCTTCTCATTAGCATTGAGAAATAATCTGAGTGGCATGTGAATACCTACTGTGGAACTGGCACTGGATGTTGTATAAGCTGGAAACAGGTGTCTCTTAAATTCAGTTTGTTGCACTATGACGGGGTTCTACTTCAAGGACTCACCTTTTCCCAGTTTATTCTTTTCCAGAAAAAGCTTTCTATGCACGTTCATAAACAAATGCAACTCTTCTTGTCATTTTCTGTTGCCTTTTTTGGGAGAAGAGGCCACTTAAAGCTTTTTTTTTTTTTTTATTTAAACAGAACAACCTTCTGACAGATGAAGAAATAGAATTGAAATGGCAGAGTGAAAAATCAGTCAGGCATATAGGCAATCCCTTCCCAGAGTATACATTAGTATTAATGATATTTTAGTCAGGAGACAACATCTCCAGCAAAAGAATCACCACACAGCACGGTGTCAGGCTGTCTATCATATCTTTCCTACCATTTCCTTCCATAGCATCGTAGAATCTGTAATCTAAACACCAACCATGGCCATCCCTCAAGAACAGCCACACTGGTCTTGCTACTTTTCCTGAGACAACAGCCCAAGTACCTTCTGCATCCTTACTGCTCAGAAGCAAGACATGAACATTTAGGCATTCTTGAAGACAAATGATAATGATCTTGTAATATGAGGTATCTTTGAGTCTGTGTTTTGGGAGGGAGAGTGGTATAAAAAGACACAATTATTGGATAATTCTTAGAAACCAAACATAGAATTACCATATGATCCAGAAATGTCACTTCTGGGGACATACCAAAGGAACTGAATGCAGGATCTCAAAGAGATATGCGCAAACCCACGTTCACAGCATTAGTCACAACAATGAAAAAGCAGAAGCAGCCCAAATGTCCACTGATGAATGAAGGGATAAAGATACACACATACAAATATGTTTGGCCTTAAAAAGGAAAGAATATTCGACACGTGCTAATGAACCTTAAGGACATTAGGCTAAGTAAAATAAAGCAGTCACAGAAAGACAAATACGTATAATTTGACTTATACGAGGTACCTAGAGAAGTCAATTTCATAAAGACAGAAGGTAGAATGGTGGCTGCCAAGAGCTGGGTAAGACGGAATGGGGAGTTGTTGTTTAATGGGCATAAGTTTCAGTTTTGCAAAATAAAGAGTTCTGGAGACTGGCTGCACAATGTGAATATACTTAATGCTACTGAACTGTATGCTTAATGGTTAACATGGTAAATTTTATGTGTCCTTTATCACAATTAACACCCACACACACACACACGAAAAAAAAACCTATGGTTCTTAGTATTTCCCAATATGATAGTGATAACAATAATATCTTACAAATGCCCAGGAACTTCCTTCTGAGAAATCCAGAGAGCTGGGCCTCCAGATTTGTTCATGCCAACTCAAAATGATACCAAAGACGAGTTCAGTTGTAAAAGTTGCACTTACCAGAGTTTAACTTCCTTTTCCCCACTAGCATGAATGTTTGGTGTATATCACCATTTTATCCCTCTGAAATTAGGGTCACCCAGACATCTGTGGATGTCGACCCGTAGTGCCACTCTGGTATTATGTGGGATTCAGAAAGAAGAGGCCTGCCTATACTGGGTCTGAGGAAGAAGAGAGATTTGTGAAGTCAGCCTCATACCTCTTCTCTTTAGAGAGTTCAGGAATGTACCCATACTGTTCTCCCCACAAAATCCACCATGTTTTCTCCAGACTAAAGGTGACCATTTGTCTCTTTCCACTTTGACCTTTAAATTCAACTCAGTATTCAACTTGGCAGTCATTCTTATCTAAAAATTACAAGCAAGTGGCTGGGCGTGTAATCCCAGCACTCTGGGAGGCCGAGCCGGGTGGAACACGAGGTCAAGAGATCGAGACCATCCTGGTTAACAAGGTGAAACCCCGTCTCTACTAAAAATACAAAAATTAGCTGGGCATGGTGGTGCCTGCCTGTAGTCCCAGCTACTCAGGAGGCTGAGGCAGGAGAATTGCTTGAACCCAGGAGGCGGAGGTTACAGTGAGCTGAGATCACGCCATTGCACTCCAGCCTGGGTAACAAGAGCGAAACTCCGTCTCAAAAAAAAAAAATTACACTCAAGATAAATACTCTAGGTGCTCTCTACCACCCAACAGGATCTGTTACCTTCTACCACTCTGTGTTTCCACTCTTATTTTCAGAACCTGGGTCAGAGGTGTTGCATAATGATAACACTTTATCAACCTTTTTTTGCAACTCAAACACAAAGGAACTGTGTAGTGAAAGTGGAAAGATGGGGAAGGGGCTGAGAAATAGGAGAGAATAAGGACCCCCAGAAGAAATACAAACAGCTTTTGGAAAGATGCATTTACAAAAATGACATCAGGAAGCTGGGTGCGATGGCTCATGCCTATAACCCCAGCACTTTGGGGGGGCAAGGAGGGTAGATCATCTGAAGTCAGGAGTTTGAGATCAGCCTGACCAACATAGTGAAACCCCACGTCTACTAAAAATAAAAAACTAGCCATGCGTGGTGACCTATGCCTGTAATCCCAGCTCCTTGGGAGGCTGAGGCAAGAGAATCTCTTGAACTTGGGAAGCGGGGGTTGCAGTGAGCTGATATGGTACCATTGCACTCCAGTCTGGGTGACAAGAGCAAAACTCTGCCTCAAAAAAAAAAAAGTGTTCTAACCAAATAAAAAGTCCCTTTCCACTAAGAGCAGCAGATTGGCAGAATATAAAACTTCTGGAACAGGAAGGTTGTGTAATCAACAAAGCAAAACAAAACTGAAAGAAGAGCTCCTTCGAGGGATGTCCAGCCACTGCTAAGTTGTAAGCCTCTTCCTGGTGCTCAAGGGCAGGTACAAGAGGCCTTCCTACTGCAGCTCCCATGTGCATGTCTCCTACAGCATTTGTGTAAAGGGCTCCAACCAGCGATTAATCCAATCTTCCCTCCAACCCCCCACACCCAGTGATGTGGGCTGACACTGTCAGAGCCAGTACAGGATTTCTGAAACCACTAGGGCTCATATGTCCAGCTTAGAATCTTCCCTTATTCTCTGTCAGCTTTCTCTCCATCTTCTTGTTCAACTTGGTAGTAAAACATAAAAAAAAAAAATGTGGCAATTGGAGGACAGAATCAACCATGATTTTTCTCTTTCACCACTGTTCTAGTTATTTTGCATTGCTGAGATATAAACACGTGAGTCCACAAGCAGCCCCTCCCCCCTTCGTTGTTTTTCAGTACAGACACATTTTACAACACTTTGGGCTGGAATGAAGACATGAAACAGGAAGTTCCTGATCTTGATCTCCTCTCCTCATTATCCTCCCCATCTCAGTTAAAACATTCACACAGTCAAAGAAACCATCTAGAATGTTTTCCAAAAACACCCAGAGAAAGCTCAGCAGCCTCTCTGGCTAGCCTGTCCTAGATCTGAAAGACAGTAATGTTCCCATAATGTAGGAACTTCCTTCTCTTAACTCAGATTTGAGACGTTTTCTTTTTCTACATTAGGTCTGAAAGCAGCAGGCCACTGTGTAATTAAACTGTCCCTCATTGGTCATAGGAGGAATAATCCTGGGCCTTTGATATGTTTCTGGGCTCCTGCTTCCCACCCCTCTAGATGTCTTTCTGGCTCTTTTGCAGACTTTTCTCTAGGAAGCACAAGGCTGAAGACAGAAAGCTCTGGCAACCACCACACCTCACGGCTTCTTCAGGGCTTGCTCGGCTTTTGCTCTGGGCGTGCCTGCTTCTTAAACTCTGGTACTGGGCAAAGGATTTTCTGGTCTCGTATTCAAGCTGTCCCTACTGCTGCTTCTCCACTCCCATTTTGTATTAGTAAGAGAGGGGAGGGAAAAAAAGGGGAAGGAGAACAGTGAAAAAATAAAAAAGGAAACAAGGATTTACAATGACATGAGAAATCATTTTAACAAGAAATTCAAGCCAAAAGATGGGTTTTATGGGATGAAACCCCATAAAATGACAAACTTTTGCATATAACCTTACAAGCACGTTTTTATGCGTAATATTTCTGTATTTTCGAACACGCTTTGAGTGCCCCACAAGTCTGCAAACACAGGCTGATCTGCCCCGTTTCACATTTACATTAATAGGTAAAAATGACAAGAGGCCTAGCTGAATTCCACGAAATAAGTTATTTAAAGAATGTCTGAAGTTTTATTCTTTCAGAGGCAGAGAAGTTCCAAACAGGGAAGCAAGAGATTCTGAGAATTTCATTTTCACCATAATGGCTCAATGTTTGTTCCTCTAACAACGTGAAGTTACCAGCTGTGCGCTGGCTCTTATATTCAAAGCCAAAGAACAAGTTCTTCACGTTAGAGAAATTGTTAAAGACAGTTCAAGGAAAGAGAATTAGGTATTTTAGAGTGGCTATGAAAAGTTTTTCAGGTGGGGGAAAGCACTGACCTGTGTTGTTTTAATCCGCTGAAAACAACCAAGTTCTTGAGTTCCCCTGCTGTCTTCTAGCCAGTTTCCTGTAAATGTTGCATGTGACATTACACTTCCTCACTGCACCTTCTTGACTCGCCTCCCTAACCGGTCAGAGGCATGTGATAAGATCGATTTGCTGCTTGCTTCATTCACATGGGGGTAACCCCGTGTCTGCAGAAATGATTGTCTCCCCCAGCTCGTTTTGGGTGTTCCCAGGACACAGGTAAAGAGGAGATAAGCCAGGGGTAGTCATGCCTAGATTCCAGGCACTCCTGACTCCAGAGGAAGGTGAAGGGGGAAGGGAGAGACAGTCTTGAGCCCCAGGGTCGCCCATCTTGAGGCTGGAGTTCAGCAGCTGAGAAAAGGTAGAGCACTCACAGATGAGCCCTGGGCTTGGGTCTCTGCTGTCATCAGGACAGCCCCTGGTACTGCCACCCTCGATGCTGCTGCACCCAGGATGTCCCCACACTCCTCTCTGGAGGGCACCACCATCAAAGGAGCACACTCAGGCCTTTGTTCATACTTTTGGATCCTGCAGCAATCATGGCTACACACCCCGAATTTCCTGGGACTGTCTCAAGTTCATATGTGATCATGCTGTCAGATAGTGTGCCCCAAATGTCGGTTCAGAAAAAAAACCACTTGATTCTCAGCCTTCCAGGGCTAAATAACTGGGAGACATTTCCCTTCTGCTGACTTCCAAAATGTGCCAGCCTTTTAATTTCCTTTGAAAGGGCTGGGCATCATCTTCCTCCCGGATGGTGCTGGGTTCCCGGGAGCGTGTGGGTCCTGGCCATGGGGGCTGTGATGTAGGCCTGGCAAGAGCACCAGGAGAGTGCCACCTGTGACCCTCTCTGCCCTGTACAGCTGGAGAGGCTGGAGGAGAGGTGGGGCAGGGACTAAGCCACAAGCCTAATGGCACCATGTCTAGCTTTCTTGTTCTGCTTGCTGGTGCCTTCCTGTTTCTTTTTGTGATTCCCTGAGCCACCAGCAGGGTCCAAACATACTGGAATTTGTGGATATAGGAAGTGGTGTGTGGGAGTAAAATGATGTCCTGGACCAAGGGGAATGTTCCACAATTTGTAAGACTTGACTCAGTGCAAAAACCCCAAAGTTGTTTCTATTTGGCTACCCTGGCATAATTTTTTTTTTAAATGCTTTTAAAGGTCTTTTTTTGTTTTTGTTTTTTAGAAAGGTAACTGTGGACAAGTTCCTAGTCTTGAAAATATTACCCTATAATTCCCCGATGACATTTTCCATGTGAGAATACCGAGTAAGGAAACCAGTCCTGGGACTCAGAACTGTGGACAACAGTAAAAACCTGCAGTCCCACCACATGGTTGCACTTCTGGCTTTGAAAATACACATAACTCTTTTACCATTTGACAGCTGATGGCTGGTTTTCTGATTGAAATGACATTTAGATTAGACAGTTGAGTCACAACGACTGTCCAAGCTATAGACATGGCATTAGCTTTAAAATAGAAATAATGGTAAAGTTTTGCCATCTCAGAGTCAGAAACTGCAAGAACTTTGGGAAAACAAAATACTACATAAAAAATAATGATGTCTCAACTTGAATGTATATAGAAGTGTCACATTCTGGGTAAAGCTGCCAGTCCCACTTTTCAACTAAGCAGCTGCTTATGTTCTGCTTAAGCCGTGTTCTGTGTGGAATTTTTAAAGGCCTTAATAAAATGCTTTATAATTTTCCATTAAAATCCCTAACCTGGCTTTCTGTCCATGATTTATTTCTTTTCTGGTTAGGCATTTAAAAATTTTAATACACTTTACATTTCAGAACAGTTACGGATTTATAGAAAACTTGAGAAGACAGTACAGAGTTCCTGTATATCCTACACCCAATCTCCCCTATTAAATACTTCTTATATTTAGTATGATACATAAGCAACAATTAATAAAGCAATAGTGATACATTATTATTAACTCAAGTCCACAGTTTATTCAGATGTCCTTGGTTCTTACCTAGTGTCCTTCATCTGTTCCAGGATCCCATGCAGGACTCGACATTACATTTAGTCATCGTGTCTTCTTATGCTACACTTGGTTGGGACAGTTTCTCAGACTTCCCCTGTTTTTGATGACCAGGACAGTTTTGAGAAATACTAGTCTGGTATTTTGTAGACTGTGCCACAATTGGGATTTGTTTGGTGTTTTTCTCTTGATAAGACTGGACTGGGGTTATGCGTTATTTGCAGGAGGATAACACAGGTGAAACTGCCATTTTAATCACATCACATCAGATGTATGTACTAGTAACATGATTTAGTACCGTTGGTATTGGCCTTGATCACCTGGCTGAGGCAGTGGGTGTCGGGTTTCTCCATTGTAAAGTTGCTCGCTGCTCCTCCCCACCTTTCTATACCATACTCTTTGGAATAAAGTCCTTCAAGGTAGACTGTCTATATAAATTATCTGGAATCCTTCTGCATGGAAGATTTGTCTCTTCTACAAAGTTATTAATGTATTAGATCATTTATTCATACCAGTATGGCTGCATGCATATTTACTTTATGCTTTGCATTTTAATTCAACAGTACTTTATTCTGTTCCTCAAAACTCTTCCAGGTTCGGCCACTGGGAGTTCTTACCATTGGTTTCTGTGCTCCTCTGACATACCCCTATCAATGCTTTTTGTTTGTTTGTTTTTAAGTACTTCCTCACTTTCCAGCCCTGCAAGATGCTCCAGGCTCACCATGTATATAGTACCTCTCCAGTTGTCCATGATTTTGGTTTCTTTTTTGTTTTGTTAAAAAGAATACAAAAATAAACTGACGGGCCTGAGAAAACATGTGTCTTCAATTTTCACTAGTTCTGCCCATGTGCATTAATAAAAAATTTTGTTTAATTACATTAATAAAATTAGTCCTACCGAGCCTCTATCAGCTGCAAAATACCATAACACCCAGTGAGTGAAATTCTGCACAGGCTTAATCCCAAGATGCATGGTTGTGCTGGTAGGGTTTTTTTCCCTACACATTTTAACATTCCTGGAATCAAAGTGTGCATTTAATGTCATGTCCTTTTTTCCTCTTTACCTGTTAGTAATTTGATGTTACATCTTACAGATGATGGTGTTTTGAGAATGGAGGAAATAGATCAGTCAATTACTTTTTGTTTGGACTAAGAGATATAATTTATTTTCACTGATTTTTTTCCCACTGAACAAATATTTTGACTAAGGTGGTTTATGCATAGCATGTGCAGACATTAAAAAATCTCAAGATACATTCTACTCCAAATACATTCTAACTTTACCTCAAGCTACAAATTCTCATCAAGTCCTAAATATAGATAAAATACAGATATTGATACAAATTAAAAAGAGGGAGTCTATTTATTTTTAAAATTGACATTGCAACTGTACATATTTATGGGGCACAATTTGATGTTTTGGTACATATCTATGTTGTATAATGAGCCAATCAGGGTAGTTAGCATATCCATTAACTCATGTATTTATCATTTATTTGTGATGAGAACATTCAAACACCCGTCTCATGGCTATTTTATAAAATACAGTATTTTACCACTAATCATAGCCTCCCTACTGTGCAACAGTGTACCAGAATTCACATCCTCCTGTCTCATTGTAGCTTTGTATCTGTTGACCCCGTCTTTCCCTCCCTCCCCAGTCTCTGGTAACCATCTGTTCTATTCTCTGCTTCTACGATATCAACCTTTTGTTTTTTTAAGATTCCATATGTGAGTAAGAGCATGTGGTATTTTGTCTTTCTGTGTCTGGCTTATTTCACTTAATATAAGTCTTCCAGGTTCATCCATGTTGTCACAAATGACAGGGCTTTATTCATTTTTATGCCTGCATAGTAATCTATTGTGTATCTATACCACGTTTTATTTGTTGGACATTTACATTGATTCCCATATCTTGGCTATTGTAAATAGTGCTATAATAAACATGGAAGACAAATATTGCTTCAACATAATGATCTCATTTCCTTTGAATATATATACCCAGTAGTGGGACTGCTGGATCATATGATCATGCTTTTTAATATTTTTTTGAAATCTCCATACTACTTTCTTTTTTGTTCGATTTTTTTCTTTTTTTTGCAAATTCTTCCAGATCCTGACCCATACTATTTTCCATAATGGCTGTACTAGTTTACAGTCCCATCAACAGCAATAAGTGCCCCCTTTCTTCCACATCCTTGCCCAACACTTGTTTCTTTTTGTTTCTTTGATAACAGTCTTTCTGAATACAGTGAGGCATATCGCACTGTGGTTTTGACTTGCATTTCTCTGATGAACAGTGATGCTGGACATTTACATGTCTTCTTTTGAGAAATGTCTACCAAGGTCTTTTGCCCATTTTTATTTTTGAGACGGTCTCACTCTGTCACCCCCAGGCTGGAGTCTAGTGGCATGATCATAGCTCACTTCGCCTCAAACTCTTAGGCTTAAGTGATCCTCCTGACTTGGCCTTTTGAGTAGCTAAGACTACAGGCATGCATAATCATAGCTGGCTGATTTTTAAATTTTTTGTAGAGACAGGGTCTCACTTTGTCACCTAGGATGGTCTCGAACTCCTGGGCTCCTCCCATCTCATCCTGCCAATGTGCTAGGATTACAGTTTTGCCCATTTTAAATCAAGTTACTTGGGTTTTTTTTTTCTTTCTCTCTCTTAGTTCCTATGTAGCCTGGATATTAACCCCTTGTCAGATGTATGGTTTGCAAATATTTTCTCCCATTCAGTAGGTGGTTTCTTCACTTTGAATAGTTTTCTTTGCTGTGCAAAAGTTTTCTAGTTTGATGTTTTCCCATTTGTCTATTTTTGCCTTGTTGCCTATGCTTTTGAGGTCTTATTTTTAAAATCTCTGTCCAGAACAATGTCAAGAAGCATTTTCCCTATGTTTTCTTCTAGTAGTTTTATAGTTTCAGGTTTTAAACTTATGTTTTCAATTTACTTTGAGTTGATTTTTGTATGTGCGGAAAGGCAGGGATCTAGTTTCATTCTTCTGCATGTTCTACCTAAAGCAATTAGGCAAGATAAATAAATAGGAGCATCCAAATTGGAAAGAGAAAGTCACACTGTCCCTGTTTGCAGATGACATGACCTTAGATACAAAAAGCCCTAAAGACTCCACCAAAAAATGGTTAGTCCTAATAAACAAATTCAATAAAGTTGCAGGATACAAAATCAATGCATAAAAATCAGTAGCATTTCTATGTGCTAATAGTGAACTAAAAAAGAGTTAAAGACAACAATTCTATTTACAATAGTATAAAGAGAGATACCTAACAATGAACTTAGCCAAGAAGGTAAAAGATCTCTACACTAAAAACTATAAAACTTTGATGAAAGAAATTGAAGAGGACACAAATATATGAAAATAGATCCCATGTTCATGGATTTAAAGAATTAATATTGTTAAAATGGCCAACCTACCCAAAGCAATCTAGAGGTTTAATGCAATCCCTATCAAGATACCAATGACATTCTTCACAGAAACAAGAAAAAAATCCTGAAATTCATATGAAACCATAAAAGATCCCAAATAGCAAAAACAATCCTGAGCAAAAAGAACAAAGCTGAAGGCCTACCTGACTTCAAAATATACTACAAAGCTATAGTCAACAAAACTGCATGTACTGGAATAAAAACAGACACACAGACCAATGGAACAGAACAGATCCCAGAAATAAACTCATGCACTTACACCCAACTACCATTCAACAAAAGTGCCAAGAACACATACTGAGTAAGAGACAGTCTCTTCAATAAATGGTGCTGGGAACACTGGATAACATGCGCAGAAGGATGAAGGAAGGTGTTAAATTCTTTTCTGGGTTTACTGACTCCTTTGTGTTTACTCCATTATGTTTCCAAGATCTCAAGAGTCCACTATCATGCCTGCGCAGCCTAATGTTGACACTGAATGGTTGTGAGAATGGAATTTCAGTCTGGCTGAGGAGGAGCAAATATGCTGACTGGTCAGCAGGCAGATCAAAAGGTCTCCTTGCTACTGCTTTCTTACTGAGACAGACATATAAGTGCAGAGTGGCAGGACTGGCCAGGAGTCCCCTCTCTGTTTCCAGGATTTTCTCTCCAACTAATGAACCACTGTTATTTTGGGAGCATGATGCTTTATAGATTTTGTTTTTTCTTTTAATGAACAGAGACTAATTCAACCATTTCCCACTGGCATATCTTACAAATGGTCACAGACAAAATGCCCAATCTTTTCATCCGGGTAGGCAGAACTTGGCTACTCTAAATACTGTTTACTGTCCCACTCCTGTATAAAATGTACCAAAATACTGACAGTGCTGCAATCATCCCAGCAGTATCCAGAAGGGACTGGAAGAGATGCTGCAATGACTTTTTTCAGCAACCATTTACCAGGCCTGTACCACATGCCAGACATTGAGCTAAGTGCTTTACATACGTATTTTAATTCTCATTATAATTCTGTGAGGTAGGTACAGTGATCTCCACTTTA